GAGCATATTGCAAATGAGTTACCACCCGAATGGAGAACTTCAAGATATCATCCTTTAGACAATGTGATTGGTGAAATCTCCAAAGGGGTAACTACTCGTAGCTCATTACGCAATTTAGTTAATCATATGGCTTTTGTATCTCAAATAGAACCTTCTACCATTGATGATGCCATTAATGATGAATACTGGACTATGGCTATGCATGAGGAGTTGGATCAATTCAAACGTAACGATGTTTGGGAACTTGTGCCTAGGCCACGTAATCATTCAATTATTGGCACCAAATGGGTATTTAGAAACAAACTCGACGAAAATGGTATTATCACTAGAAACAAAGCTAGGCTTGTAGCCAAAGGCTACAATCAACAAGAAGGTATAGACTTTGATGAGACTTATGCCCCTGTAGCGAGATTAGAAGCCATTAGATTACTACTTGCGTATGCCGCTACTATGAATTTCAAATTGTATCAAATGGATGTCAAGAGTGCTTTCTTGAATGGTTTCATTCAAGAAGAAGTGTATGTCGAACAACCTCCGGGATTTGAGGACTTTGAGTATCCAAATCACGTGTTCAAACTGAAAAAGGCTCTATACAGACTTAAACAAGCCCCAAGAGCTTGGTATGAACGTTTGAGTTTGCATCTCTTGGAGAATGGATTTCAAAGAGGAAAGATAGACACCACACTCTTCATTAAGCATAATGCTCTTGACATGCTTTTAGTACAAATCTATGTTGATGACACTATTTTTGGTGCTATTAATGATCTTATGTGTGAGGAATTTACTAAGATTATGCAAGGGGAGTTCGAAATGTCAATGATGGGAGAATTAAATTTCTTCCTCGGTCATCAAATTCGACAACTTGAACATGGGACATTTCTTAGCCAAACGAAGTACTCAAAAGAACTTCTCAAGAAATTTGAGATGGAAGATTATAAAGAAATGGCTACCCTAATGAGTTCTCAATGCTCACTTGATAAAGATGAAAGTGGTAAGTTGGTTGATGTGAAACGGTATCGAGGTATGATAGGTTCTTTACTTTATTTAACTGCTAATAGACCTGATTAAGTGTTTGTATGTGTGCTAGATATCAAGCGAACCCTAAGGAATCTCATTTGACCGCTGTCAAACGGATCCTTAAGTATGTGAGAGGCACCTTGAACTTGGGACTTTGGTATCCCAAAAGTTCAACATGCACTCTTGTTGGGTATTCTGATTCCGATTTTGCCGGATGCAAAATGGATAGAAAGAGTACGAGTGGAACCTGTCACCTTTTTGGTTGTTCTCTTGTTTCTTGGTTTAGCAAGAAGCAAGTAAGTGTTGCTTTGTCCACCGCCGAGGCCGAGTATGTCGCTGCGGGGAGTTGTTGTGCACAAATCCTTTGGATGAAACAACAACTTTTGGACTATGGCCTTGTACTTGATCACATTCCTTTGCGTTGTGATAATATGAGCGCCATAAATATTACGAAGAATCCTGTTCACCATTCTCGTACTAAGCATATAGATATTCGACATCACTTTATTAGAGACCATGTCCAAAAGGGTGATGTTGACATTGAGTTTGTCGATACAACTAATCAGTTGGCCGACATATTTACTAAACCCTTGGACCGTGAGAATTTTAGTCGTATTAGAAATGCCTTAGGAATTATTGCTATTAACTAAGCTCTTTTAATTATTTTTATGGTTAATTGATTGAATTTTGTACTAACTTAGGCATCGGAGTGGTTTTTAATTCTTTTTTGCAGGTTCTCACCCATCCACTCCTCTTTCTTACTCCATAGGAAGCATTTATTAAGGGGGAATGTTTATTGACTTTGGGTATTTGAAGAATTTCAAAGGACTGCTTAACTACAATGGTTTATTCGAATAAATGCATAATTATTCGAATAAATCTGCTCCTTACAGATTCTAGTGTTGCGCCTCAAATTGATATATTCGAATAATTTGGTAACTATTCGAATAAATGGGATTCCAGTGTTGCGGGTTGTCAGACGTTATTCGAATTAATAGGGAACTATTCGAATAAATTAGATCAGATCTGATATTTTTAAAGGTCATTTATTCAGTCAAAGCTCCTTCACTTCTTCTCAGACTGAAATCGCCAATCCTCTCTCTCTCTCAATAGGCGACTCACTGGAACCCTAGTCGCAGGCTCTTCTTCACCGACGCATCTCCTTCCCTCGTCGCCAAGCTCTTCTTCCACAATTGGTTCATCCTCGTCGCCAAGAACCCTAGGCGCGGCTTCACCGACAACTCTCCATACCTAGGTG